GTTCAAAATTTACCGAGTATTTTTTCATATAGCTCAATAAGATACTTTTCCATTTTGCCGGCAGCCCACCAGCGGCCGAGCGGTAAAGTCGCTGAACACTGGTAGTTCGGTCCGAGGTTCGAATCCCGCGAACGGGCTGGCTGCATGGGCGTTTTCGTGGTTTTCCCCATGTGTAACGTGTATACGAGCCAGTTTCCCTTAGAAAGTCCTCCACGAAGGCATCCCTCCTCTTAGGCAGATAGCCAGCCCTCAAGGCTTTGCCATAATCACACACACACACACCATTTTGCCGGCACAAATCTCGCCAACATACAATATACACAAATAAAAAATGTTAACGAATGTTAGTTCAAAGAATTTTTTATTTTGAAGGCATAAACATTTTAATATCGTTTAAAATTTTGTGAAAAGCCAATAAATAAAGACAAATTTGTAAAAAGACGTTAATTTAAGAATTTACTATGCTTTTATGGTTCAACATCCTGATTCGCCGGTTCATATCACTTGATCCCAAGTGATCTCAACTCAGGTAAACTACTTTACAAAAATCTAATTCTCTCAGTAATTATCCAAATTAATTTGAAGTTAAATCTAAATTTGAAATATAATTTTAAATGCCCGAATTATTTCAATTCGTACCAATAGCTTACTCAAAAATTATGTAAAACCGCAGTGCTTTGCTAGTGCATTCTCATTAGAATTGGTGAATTTAAACCTCGACTTTGCCTTTTCTATATTTTCGCCTCCGGGTGAGCTGTGTAATTGCATCCTAATTGACTTAATTACCGCGAATGGCCTTAGGGCATAAAATTGAACTATCTGGTAAAATTTCTATGTAATTGTATGCCAGTATTGAAAGAAACAATCAATCTGATAAGAAATGGCTGCGACTTGTTTTGAAAGTGAGGTGTTAAAGGTTAACAGAAAGGATATTCTATTTAGCACCAACTGCACTTACTGGCGACTTTATCGCCTGCGCCGGCAAAACGGAAAAGTACCCTCAATAATTGTCTCGTTGTAAATCTTCCTGGAATAACTAAAACTCGATACATCAAAAGCAAAAGAATAATAAAAAAATTCAAAATAAAAATAAAATAAAGCTTCGCGCATCTCGCAGTAATTCTTTAGAGGGTTGGTGCCATGAAATAATGTAAGAGGATAAACTGTACTTCTGAGCTACGTAATGCATAGTGTAAAATTCCTTACTTTTGCGTACAAAATATCAGATTGTTTATTAATGTAGTCAGTCCTCATATAACTAAGAAGGTACGTGGAGTATATTCAAATGTTTTATAGTAAAAAATATTTAAACCATTAACTGTGAATGCAAGCATAAAATAAAGTAGAATAAGTATTCCCAAATATAATTAGCTGTAATATACTTTTTATAAATTACGAAAAAATAACTAAGAGCAATTGTTAAGGAGGATTATTTCACTTCTTATTTTAGCGTATATACATATATCTTATATTTATCTTTTTATTTTAGCATATATATATAATTTTAGCATTTTATCTTATATATATACTAAAATGCTGAAATGCTATATTTTAATACGTTAGACAGACTTCATTTACTTCGGTGGTCAGGAAATTTATGTTAAGAAACTATAGGTGTATATTTTGTTTGAATTCTTTTGTATAAATATATACAAAAAAAAATTATGGATAACTTCCTAAGGGAAATAGGTTCCTGCTATCCTTAAAAATGTTCATGAAGTCAGCCATTCCACTAGTACCTAGCAAAAAAACATCCTATACTATTTTTACTCGCAATCGGTTACAATCGAAGCCTTCCTCCCGATAATCTGTCGCTTTTCAATGGGATGATTCTGCAAAGTCTCAAGAGAAACAGAACATCTTTATCTTCCCTACCATTAAAGGCCATACTTTATTGCACTGAAATGATCAAATAGCAGTTGAAAAGTTTTTGTATTTTTACCTGATTCAGATGTTTATATACCGCTGACTTGGTTCTCAATGACCCTTGTCAGCGATAAATGAATGCAGTCTCTGAAAGCTTCATTTGTTCCAGAAGTTCAGTTTCCATGAATGTAACACTCTCAAATGGGCTTCTAACATGTTCTGTATTTTTATTATTTCTTTAAGGTGTCCCAAAGAAAGACATCATTATGGTCCACTGGTAGTTTAAATTTGTCGCTTTAAATTTCTACTGTCTTTCTTCGCCTACTTACTAGCGCTTTAAATTTCTTATTGAGTTCCTACTTTTTCGACTGGTAAGTCTAACGATATTGTTAACTAGCAATTAAGGTTACCTTGTTACTCCAAACTTGGTTTTTACTCCAAATACAATGTGAAAGAATGGCGTATCATGTCATGTTCTTCATTTGCATTCAACCTCTTTAGTTCTGACATTTGGAATAAATATCTATAAATTGTTCCTGGCAAATGTGTTTATACCGTTTTTCGCTAGAAACAAATATTTCATTAACTCACGAGGAGAGATTCTGTTTGAAATCCTCTGCCATCTGTCAATACTTTCTTTTACATATGTTAGAGGCATTCCACTGGATATGTTTCCAAACATGATTTTCTGAACAATCCTAACATAGAGCTATTTCTAAAACAGAACAGAAAGAAATATTCTCTTTTGGTTTCCTTAGTACAGAAGTTTTACAACAGCGGAGTTTTCACTTCAGTCGGTAAAAATCTCTCATTGCATAGAGATATATGCTTATTCTTCCCTTCAAGTATCTCACTTAAGTATGAAATCATACAGAAATTTTGCTTTGCCATAGAGCTACAGCCATACAATTCTACTTCGCCATTCGTCTTTTAATTCAGTTGCACTAAACACTCTTACATTTTACGGATCTAAGGACTTGTCTGTACCAAACAAAACTTCTGTTGCCAGATCTCCGCAGTCTTGCATTAATTGTTGCAGTATTTGCTTAGATTTCAGTTTTTGAGTTTAATTACATTAAGTATGCCATTAGAGTTTAAGAATACCGAATTCTTCCACTTGTATGCCTGCTGTTGCATAAAATCTGAAATCACTTACAAATAATTCTGTAAGGAATAAGCCCATATCCACTGTCTTGGAGTAAATCCACTGTCTTGATGCCCTGTCTTGGTGTAAATTATTAGCACGCTCAACTCTCAATTAGAAGATCGTTGTTTTGAATTCTTCGAGGCCATATTTGATCTTGCTTTTCCTTCCTCGGAAAAATCTAGTGATTTCTACAATTCGGCAGATGTTTTCATCATACACTTCTAGTATCATCTTATTTATGTTCAACACGGATGACTCTTTTCATACATGGTCAAGCAATTGGTATTTATGCTTTTGCTATGAGCCCGTGTACTTTCTACGCAATCTCTGTAACGTATTCTGAAATATTCGGTTTCAGTTGAAGAGAGCTTCAGTGACATTTATGGGATCATGAGTTTAGATTGCCAGATGAGTATACAATTCAGATAGATCAACGACAGTGTTTAAGAATAAACGTGAACTGTGTTTGAAGGAAGAGGACTTTTATTGCTGTTCCGTTAAACATACTTTGAATAAGCAGGTGCTTCTAATTTTAACATGTTTCAAATTTTGCCCAGTTACGTTTGTAAACCTAATTGCCTCTTACATATGTCTTGAAGGATTTCTAAAATGCATAGATGTGTTTAAATATATGCATGAGACTTAAAAAACTGCTTTCAGAATAACCACATAGTCCACGCAAAATAGGAAAAAACTTTTAAATGTATGTGTCAGGAAAACGTAAAGTTGATGTTAAATTATTTTACCTTTCACTACCATAAAATAGTACAAATCTATTATAAAAATTGCAAATTTTCCAAGATGTTGACATACGAACTTTTTCAGACTTCGTACAGTAACACTGAAGTTAAATAAAAATAAACATAAATCGCATCTGCATAAAATTAACTGTATTGCAAATTGTGTTATTAAAGCCACTTTTCAACTGCAACTCTTAATTTATATAGCAGCGAATCCTAGAGATATTTGCGTAAAACTCCGTATGGCTGTATGTTCATTTCTGACTGAGTAAATAACACGTGATCTTAATTGAGTATTGAAGAAATTCCTCAACGGTTCTTGATTATACTTTTCTATGTAGGTGTAATGTTGAAAATATTACGACCAATCCCAAATGAAGCTCTTTTTAATTTCTCTGGATCTTCTTTTCTGCAACTTGATAAAAGTCATGAAATGTTGAAGAAAACATTAAACATGAATAATGCAGCTTTTAAGATAAAACTATTTCAGCTCTTTATTATGATTATAAATGTAACATTCTATTCCTTAAAATATTTTTCTTTAGTGTAAGGGAGGGGCCAACTACCGCGAAGAAATCGTATTAGTTTGCTTTCATTGCATTAAATCAATGTTATTGCCTCAGCTACTGTTATGAATGCATAACTCATGGCACCTGTAAACAGAAATCCCTCTTTTTTAATATGTGCAAAATGTACTGTTTTTTATATTATAAGAATATGTGAAGGCAGAATCTATGAAAGATACACAATGAATCTCGTACAGTATTGTAAATATATTTTGTCATTATTTCTCTTTGAAATTTTTGCTGCAGCTTATTTTGTCCAAAAATGCAGCACATATTACATGTAGCGATAACTTTGTGTATTATTAGTAAAGTTTCTGTTGAACAGCAGACATTATGCTCGAATTTGGAACTGCGCCCGATTTTGGCACAACTAACTAATTAACTACATAATTCAATAGTCAACTGTGTTAAATTAATTTCAATGATTGAAACTGAAATTATATTATAAAATAATTTGCCACCCTCGTAAGATTTCTTCTCGAATCACATTCAAAATGTTAAAGTTATGGAACATACCGACAGATTAATAATTTTCATCATTTCATTTTTGTATGTATACCTGCAACACAGTAATAATTGTAAAGTAATTACGGCAACAAAATAATGAAAATTAAGCTTTTATCCAAAACAAGATTGCATTCTGAATCGAGTAAATGCTTAAACTTTCAGTTTCTTAATCAGCTATATCTTTTTCAGCTCCATCAGGTTGGGTTCTTCAAGAAGAAAATCTCATAATAGTTGCGGGTGTTGCTGGAGGCCTGGTAATTCTCATGGTACTAATGGTGATTACTGCAGCAGTTGTTGCGGTGAGAAGAAGAATTTCAGGTAAGAAATAGAAAACTGATTTTATAAATTATTTATGCTTGTAGGGAAAACCAAATTAAATTTATGTTTTTTTATAAATCTGCTTTATTAATCTAATTCTCAAATTACCTAACTTAAATCTTTAGGCATATAAAATTTATTTTTTATTTTTTTCTTGTCTCAGACATCACATTCACACAAATGGTATACAAAATGTAAACTGACGAAAATAAAAATCTATAAGATTTGTATAAGAAAATAAAAATTCTTACGAGATAATGGCTCATGTGAGATAATTATATTACATGTTTTTGAAGAACGGTTAACTGAACCTCGGAGAAAATAAGCCAGCAGTCCTCTTAAAATATTAATTTTCTTAGATGCTGCATGATCAACACCACCTGCTTCAGATAAAATGGTAATCATGGAAAGAAGGGGAACATTAATTGAAACTATACGAGTTTTATACTGATGATCCTTGTATCCGTTAACTGAACATATAGTGAACAGTCAGTGAATTTAGTTTATAATGAGCAACTGTGAACTCAATATATCGTGTGCAACGGATTTCTTTAATAAATGTCAGCCGACATAGATATCACTGTTAGTTTTGTGGAATCAGAATGATGTTTTAGAAATATTTTAATTTTCTTAAGTACTGCCTCAGACAAGGTTTACATGCGTAAATTTGAGTAATATAATAAAAGGTGTAGAGAATGCATTTGATACACTTTGGTGTTCTTTACTCTTTGCTAATGCATACTTCGAGTTTCTACCGACGGTAGATCTTAGGGAAGAACACGAGAAAGGAAACAATTACTTATAACCTAAGCTATAATGGCTGCAGTGCCGTTTACTATGACATTCCTTACAGACCGTAAAAGATGATCAGGCAGCAGTGCAACGCGGTTTCATGGGAACTGTATAATCCGTAATAAACTTTTCTCTAAGATCTCATATTATGATACATCCTTTTTACGGTCAATAAAAGGACTTACGATCCGCATTACAAGAATAACACTTTAGCATCAGTAACAATTAACAGACTTTATTTCAGTAATATACTGCAAATGCAGGCTGATGACAAATATTATGTCGAATGACCATCTACATCCCAGTGACTTCATTTGTACATGGGCACTAAGAATACAAACACTATATCAAGACATAAAAATACTACATGAGTATGACGTCTTTATTTGTTCCGCTTGAAAGACATTTATAATATTGTTATGTTAATGCTATTCTTTGGCAATGCATCTATTGTTTGTCTAAAATCTGTGATCAGCGATTTGAAAGAAAAGTACGTATGAAGACCTAATTGTTATTTTAAGACGATGTATACCAAACTTTGTCTGATTGGTGAGGGAAATCTGTCAAAAAATTTGGATAGCATAGATTGTACTTAATCCTGGTTATTTCACGCGTATGTTAGTACTTCTGTAACTTTTATATGAATGTGTATAATCGATGAAAATGAACATTATGGGTGAGCAATGAACTTCCTCAAGAAACATCACAGAACAAAAACGTTGCAGCAAATGACATGGCGACCTTCGTCTTTGTTGTTTTTTTGTTTGGTGAATACGTATAAATACTGTTTTAAAAGCATATTTGAGAAATCAGACTGACAAAATAAAAATATTTCTTCTGACATATCTATACCCCTTACACGATGCTACATTCCTATATTTTAAAATCGTAGTATCGTAAAGGAATTATGCGAACAAACTGAAACTTAACAAAAAATGTAAAGCAGGGTAATATATGCAAACAATTAGAGTTCCAAAGAGGTAACGCATGCATTTGTGTAACAGCTCCCTCTGAACTACCATGTCAGCTATTTAATTAGAGGACTGTAACATTACGTTAAAAATGGTGTATCTTGATACTGCAGCGATAGACGTTTCATGAGGAGGAGTATGTTTCGTTGACTACGAATGGCCCATCGTTAAGGGAGTTACACCATTTTAAAGATGGATAAAGGATTCATATGCGAGAAAATGGATTTTTGCATCTTCAAATCGCCCCTCATACGGGACATACTGCCTCATCGGTGATGCTTGTGGGAAGCAGCGTGCTCATGACTACCGCGTAAGTCGCAAGCCTAGCAGTCGACTGCCACGAAATATTACGTCGGCACAAAATGAATGACAACTCATACACATGACAGCGATGAATCGTGTAGCTTCATCTTGGGCAGTTGGCACAGTGTTAGATCTTTGCTACAAATATGCGTCTTATTACTCAACTTCAAAATTTCTCCAGCGTCTACTGCGCCGGTTATTGTGGGTATACGTTTCTATGCTCAGTATTCTTCTGACAAATTCTCACTAAAACAGTCATTTTTTCATGTTGTTTTAAATGCCCGATTGTCAAAACATTATTTTTCTAGTGAATTCCGCTTCAATATGGTGCACAACCACGGTCGAGTGCGCAGTAGGATACTCCGGAGGGGAACTCCATTTTCAGAAATGCAAAAGCCAGCGTCAAACGGAACCACCATAAAGCCTAATAATCTGCAACTTCACTATGATTTTCTTCTTTTTTTTCTTCTTTTTCTTCAGGAGAAAGTATTTCTTTCTCCTGGTGAGGAGGGACCTTTAGCTACATTCGAAATCGATTGAGTGTTTCATTATCCGTACGCTAAATACAATGTTGTTTTTACGATTTTGATTGCCTGTCTTCTTTATTATTAGAAATATTTAGATTTCATATATTCCTTCAGTCTTTGGCTTACCCATTCACAAGACACACGGAACTCATCCGTGATATTCATCCGCTGCTAAAGCGGATCAGATCTGGGCTTCTATAGAAGAAATATTATTTATCAGATGCATATTCAAAATATATTTGTTTCAATAACATGGAGATTGCCGCCTAGTAGGTGTAGTATTTATGGACGCTGACTCAGTACGGCTCGGGTTCGAATACCGGAGAAGGCTTGTATGACGATAAATATGCCTGTGAGATATGGCATAATATCAAAATATACCGCGAGTTGAAATTCCTCTGGAGGGATTTGGTGGTATGGGAGAGGGATGGTAGATTGGATTTTCAAAACCTAATCTACATAGCGATTTTGTTGCAGGTTCTGAAATACTAAATTAATATTTAAATCAAAGGCAATGAGGTATCATCAATAAGATCGTGAAATAATCTGTTATGGTTACATTTATTCATACTTATTAGGATCTCAGTATAAACTTCCTTTAAGGATGAAATTACTTTCTTACAAGCTTAAATAAATGTGCACAGTTCATTAATATTATAAACAACTATTTTTCACTTACTGAAAGAAGACTTCTTAGACCATTAAGTTTTAGTTTCGTTAAATCAATATCCTAATGCGTGCTGCCGATTTGGTATCCAAAGGTAATTTATGTCATTAAATGGAGCGAGTTTGTCCTGTGGTAAAAAAGAGCCAGACAAACACATGTGAGTAAGTGACTTAATTAAATATATAAATGAATGAGCATTCGTGTTAATGTAAATCTTATGAGACGGCTTTAATTAATTGATGACAACAAACTTGTTACTGCTATCCTGCCTCCGCATGTATATTATTTAAGCAAGCATTATCTTTCCAAGTGTCTATCTTTTATCCCTTAGTGAATATTTATTTTATATTTGTATCTTGGTTCTTTTCATAAAATTTATGTTCTTGTTGTTTTTGAAATTTATTAACAGTTAATGCAAATCTGACAGTGTTCGACACATTTCGTGTATGATAGATTAACAGCTTTAGTCTCACTTCTTATTTAAAATAACTCATTTAAATTAAAGTTCCACACAATATATATTTAAACTTAATAAAATACGTTGGTTCTTAAACTAAAAAGTAAAATGACTTATAAAATATTACTGAACTATCATCTTTTCCTACCTTTTTATATTCCTCAATGTATGTTGCTAATAAGGTAAAGAACTGAACTCTTTTTAGATTTATTATTTTTTAATTCTTCATTCTCCTCTTTCATTTTACAATATTTTTGTATATTTATACACATTAAATTGTCATATAAATAACTTTCTTAACACGGTACTAAAATATCTATAAATAAATATTATATATGTATAATTACCGTCTAATGAGTAACAACGAAAATGCAAATGTTTAAACATCTCTTTTAAATTCATTTGATTTTCGAAATTGTTATTTTAAAAAATTTATATTGCTAAAACTGTACTTTTACATACGACATAAACAGTAGTCAGTTTTTTGTAGAAGAGTTACACCCAGATTTTATCGTCTTAATAACTTTTTCTTCGATCCGCCCTCGAGCGGTAAAGTGACTGAACACTGGTAGTTCGGTCTGCGGTTTGAAGTTTGGCGGACGATCTGGCTGCATGGGCATTTTAATGGTTTTTCCCTTTTGTAATTTATATACCAGCCAGTTTCTCTTCACAAGGCCCTCCACGAAGGCATTCTTTTCCTTAAGCAGATAGCGCTCGAGGGCTTTGCCGTAATCATTGAGCAAGCCTCCTTTAAACCATTAAGATTTTTCATATAGTCAGCGGCATAGCTACAGAAAAGTGGAAGTAACGGTAGGACGAAGTTTAAAAAATTTGGAATACCTAGAAAGTAATCTCGATTAAGGATCTAAGGATGTAAAACTCGGTTACATTCCGGTGCAAAAATTTTTCATTTTGTTCTGAAAATTTCTTTCAGTACAAAATTACAAAACTTTTCATTAAGAAAATTTCACGTCTTCAGCTATTAAAAGTTCTTAATTTTCTGTCCTCGTTCCGGAAGGAAAACGTAGATGAAAGGTTGAAAACTACTGTCTTTCTTAGCTTCATATTCGAAAATTTCGGGACAACACCTACGATCTACACCTCGGATGATATTCTACTTAGCTGCGCCACTAACCATAAGTAAGAAAAATATTTGAGTGTCCATTGAATTTTATTTATTACTATAATATAAAAAACCTAATAGTCAAAAAGTCGAATTAAAATTAAATTACTTCTTAATGAGAAGTGTGTTGCTTTTTTTTTTTTTTTTTTTTTTGTTAGTT